AAAAAAAAAAAAAACAATCACTGAGTTGGAAAAAGAATCACCCCTCTTGTGTCAGTATTTTGTTTTGCTTTAATTCCAGCCTTAAATCTGTTGGGATTTGTCTCTACTAACTTTGCACATCTATACTTTGCAATATTTGCCCTCTCTTCTATGCAGAATTGCTCAAGTTCAGTTATATTTGATAGTGAGTGTTTGTGGACTACAGTTTTCAAGTCATGCCACAGATTTTCAGTGGGGTTTAAGTCTGGGTTCTAAGGAGGCCATGCAAGAACCTTCTTCTCCGTCAACCACTGTGTGCTCAGTTTTGCGGTGTGCTTTGGGTCATTGTCATGTTGGAAGGTAAACCTTCTTCCCAGTGACAACTTTCTGTCAGAGGGCAGCAGATTTTCCTCAAGAATTTGAAAGTATTTTACCCCATCCATTTTTCCTTCTATCCTGATGAGTGCTCCAGTTCCTGCTGCAGAGAAACACCCCATAACAGGATATTACCAGCTCTGTGCTCTACTGGAGAAATGCTGTTATTTGGATGGTGAGCTGGATTGGATTTCCGCCAGACATATCATTTGGTGTTGAGGCCAAATAATTCAATTTTGTATCCATCTCCTGACTTGCTCCTATCCGTAATTTTTGACAGTGCCTTGCCGCCCATAGTTGATTGTTTGCTTCAGTTGCACTACCAAGAACAGAAATGCTTCAGGAAAGCTCTTTTCATGCTCAGCTCATCAAAATGAGCACAGCTGATCACAGTTGAAAGTCAAATGGCTTTGTGTGCCATTGAGAAGGTGATTAGCTACACCTGATTGAGTTTACAAATTTTTACGAGGGGGGTGATCCTTTTTCCAACTCAGTGATTCTGTTTTATTTATTTATTTATAAAAAAAATTTTCCTGACATGTTGGTGTAATATCTTTCACATGGATGTTATAAGTTGCACTGAGTAAATACAGATGGATAAAACAAAAACTGTGTCCGTCTTCATTTCAGGGTGCAAAGCAACAAAATGTGATTATTTTCTATACCCTATAAGTCAGCAAAATAAGGCCTAAATTAAACACACAATGCTATTTTTTTTTATTTGTAAGCATGCGGGTTCTAGTTCATTTACTCTTTCTATCTGTCTATTTATCTCCCACATTGACCGCCATGAACGTTGGATCTGTCTTGTAACCCCTGGTGGGTTTTGTGCAGGCGCATACAAGCATGATTACATGGTATTTTAATCCATGCAGAGAGATGGGCCGATGAGCTGTTTGTAAAAGGGTTTGTCTGAGCTACATAGTTCAGCGAGACCCACTCAAATGTAAACAGCAACCCTGGAGTGATCGGTGCATGGGATTATGAATTAATCTTTGTGCATATGTGTGACTTGTATTGAGGGATGGGGTTGTGGATGAATGGAAAGAAGGAATGGATCGGCCAGTCTTGTGGTCTCTGGAAAAAAAAAAAGGTTCATTGCTTTTGCATCTAGATAATTAACCCCTCTCCTTGTAATAACACAAATCCCATGGGCCCCCGAGTGAGTATTCGACCCCTGACTCCATGTCGGGATGGACCGTGGGGGCTAATCCTGTTTCGAGATGATGCTTCAAAGAAAAACCTAATGAGACGTTTTGGAAAACACAGAACTGCCCCACCTCTCTGAGGTCAATGAAATAATGACTTGTTTTTCTTAAGTCCTTGCTCACAGCCCTTGTGTAAAAGTTCTTAGACGCCAGATTAATTATCTAATTTAAAATGGTCCAAAAGTTGATTGCAGTTTGAGGTCTGGTGATTATTTTTGTGGTATTTTTGTTGTTGTAGCTGTAGCTCTATGCTTGCCAAATATGTAGGACAGTGCATTGTGTTCTTTCTCTTTCCTCTATGTACTTTATTAGTTGTGGTGTTTGATAAGGCAAGCATTACTATTGCTATTGCTCATATATAGTGTTAGGAATTTGTAGGAATTAGTATTAAACTTTGGTGCGTAACTCGTCCCACACCATTTATGCTACAGACATGAAAGATATCTCAAATCATGTGACCTGTTGAGAAGAAGTGTGCTGTTATATTGATCCAAGACTTGGCAGTGACTTGGGTCAATCAGAAATCTGTAAAAAAAAAAAAAAAAAATGTTGAGAAAATTAAAATTATAAATCAGTGCAACATGATGCATTAAGATGTTTTAGTTCTCTCAACTAAAACTGTAAATAACTGTCCTAAGCAACACTACTTTACCAATAGTTTGTTCACTAAATGCATAATGTCTTAGTCAATAAATTCTTATCAAGGCAACTACAAATTACTTGTTCTGCTAATTTTCAATCAGTACCAAGAAACTTTACTCTGCAATTTTTGCTTTTGAAAGAGAAATAATCATGCAAACCTCAATAATAAACAATACATTGCGAGAAAAAATACAGAATTGCGAGATATAAACTCGCAAGAAAAAAGTCAGAATTGTGAGAAAAAGTCAGAACTGCGAGATATAAACTCGTAAATGTGAGTAAAGTCAGAATTGCAAGAAAAAGTCAGAATTTTGAGATAAAACGGTAACACTTTATTTCGATAGTCCACTTTAGACATTCTATTAACAGTAAGTAACTTTGCAACTACATGTCAACTAGCAGTTAGTAGAGTATTAGTAGACTGTCTGCTTAATATCTTCTAACACTTTCTTTGTCAACATTCTACTAACCCTAAACCTACCCTAACAGTCTACTCTGAGAATTAGTTGACATGTAGTTGACATATAGTTACAAAGTTACTTATAGTTAATAGAACGTTTCCCATGCCTTTGACTCAGGAGAAAAAATTAAGTGTCTTTGGTTCACGTGCAGCATGCAATGCGATTTCACTATGTAATGCGATTTCACTTTTTGGCACTAACCTAAATGGCTTTTGACTAAAAGATTTTGAGTATCAGAGCGAGTTATTTCACAGAGGGATGAATGTGTTTTTCAGCCTGATTCGGTTGTTTTATAAAGTGCCTCTCCAGTGTGATTCCAGCCTCACAGTCTGACATCTGGGTCACAACTGAGGATGTGCAGAATTATTTAGCAGATATTTGGAGAAAGTATAAGCAAACATACTTATTTGATGCCAAAACACTTTAGGAGAACAAACCAAGACATACCTTCGAGTGATTTTTGACATAGTAATAGAGCCAGAGATGATGCAGAAGATCATGCAAAAAGGCCATTGAACAGTCTTTCAAAGTAACGAAAAGTTATTGCTCTCTGTTATAAGGGTAATTACATGTTTGAAATGCTGCTGTGCCATTAAATTATTAAATCAATAAGCACAGAGGACAAAAAAATTTTGTGATCACATGACTCATAAATGCATGAAAACCTAATTTATCGGTACTATGATGAATAGTGGTTGTTGTTTTTGAAACTTTGTGGTGAGACTGTGATAATGGATGCAAGAAAATGCATTTCTTTTCATGGCAGCTCATAAGCCCACACATTTCTGCACCACATCTGTTATTGCAACAAAACAGCAAAGCATTATTTGCATTATCGCAGTGCTAAGCTGTATTTGCTTGTTTGTTTTGAATCATTTACTACAGTGATCTCAGCAGGATGAGAGTGTGTCCAGTCTTTGTGACGTCCACTGGCTTCATATCACAAGGCTTCACTTTACAGATCAATATTGGGCTACAGAGCTGGACAGAGAAAGTGGTAAACACCCAGAATCTTATACCACACACACTGATGCAGATGAGGATGTCTCATATAATGCTTTACTCTACTTAGTAAATAGGGTTACATTTTATTTCGATAGTCCACTTTAGACATTCTATTAACAGTAAGTAACTTTGCAACTACATGTCAACTAGCAGTTAGTAGAGTATTAGTAGACTGTCTGCTTAACACTTAAGACTATCTTCTAACACTTTCTTTGTCAACATTCTACTAACCCTAAACCTACCCTAACAGTCTGAGAGTTAGTAGACACGTAGTTGCAAATTAATGAGAATTAGTTGACATGTAGTTGACATGTAGTTACAAAGTTACTTATAGTTATTAGAATGTCTAAAGTGGACTATCGAAATAAAGTGTAACCGATAAAAGTAGCAATTACATTTTTTTTTTAATTCAATGGAACGGGCTTCCATACTAACCTGTAATAAATCAGCAAAATTGTTCAATAAGAAATTGTTTCTTCAGGCAACCATGTTAGTTGGAACAACGTGGGTAGTTGGAATAAACATTTGGTGGAATACTGTTGTCCTAATGTGTTTTTATATAGATTCAAAGCAATAGTATCTGAAAATAAAATGCAATTGTTTTTTTACAGTGCGGACGACCTTAGCAATATCAGTGCCAAGCATCATGGCGACACCAGAAGCAAGAACAAATCACTCGCATTTTCTTCACAAAAATAAATCAATTTTCAGTTTCTAGTTTTGTCAGAATTTGTGCAACTGCACCGTGATCAGACCCAAAAGGCGCCTCCATTCCATGCAGCAAGACCTGCTGTGTGTTTCCCTCGCTTGGTGATTAAACCGAGCGGGTTCCCATGGAGATCCTCGGAGCTGTCACAGGCAAACCCCTAAATCTCCACCAGAAGCAAGAGTTTTTGTGTGCGGGTGACACTTCCTTTCAAACAAGCACAGTTTAAATGCTGATTTATGCGCCTCTGTAGTGCTTCACAAGGGTCAATACAGAAACACATTCAAATGGGGGAAAACAACTTCACCCAACAGATGCCACATTTCTGACACAGGAGCAATAACTTTAATCCACATGTGACTCTGAAGATTTGAAGACACTTGCTCACTTTGAGAATCTTATGCAATTAGGGCTTTGTGGCGTATCACACGTCCCACTTTTGCGGGTTGACTCCACAAGTGACATCTGGGCTTAATTAGTCCCTCCTGCACTATTTTCAGGAGGCGTTTCTCTTCACTAAACCACCAATCAGAGAGTAATCATAGGCCTGGGACTCCACCCCCCATTGCATTCACTCCATCAAGGGTTTTGTTTTTTTGTCTGTGAAGTATTCTCCGTCCTTTTTTCCCCCTTATTCCCACTGCTCTGCCTCCTGAGCACCATCCAGACGCACTGGTGTGTGACAAGAACAGCTATGAAGACAGTAAAGCAGCACTCAACCACATCGTGACGGCAACCCTGGGCACCCCGAACACTGTTTCCACAGCCTCCAGAAGTGGGATACCTTCAGAGAGGAGACTTGAGGGACTCAGTTTTAGACAAAATCAAGGGATTTCACAGGAAGCCTCCAAATGAGAGATACTGAAGCGAACGAGAGCTACAAAGGGATACAGCGAGTGACCAAGGATTTGACGAGAATCAGACAGACTTTGACTGCTCATCTCGACTCGTTCAATTCATTCTGAGCGAAGTGGATTTCTTTGCTCATTCTTAAGGGAATTGAAGGTGGCTGGAGAACTTCACTGAACTCATTCTAATTCTACACTAAAACAAAAGTTTAAAAAGGACAATAATGGCCAACTCTGGGTTTCAGCTTCTGGGCTATTTTCTCGCTCTGGGTGGATGGATTGGCATCATCTCCACTACGGTGCTGCCCCAATGGAAGCAGTCCTCATACGCAGGGGACGCCATCATTATGGCCGTGGGCTTGTACGAAGGCCTGTGGATGTCCTGTGCATCTCAGAGCACGGGCCAGGTGCAGTGCAAAATCTTTGACTCCTTGCTCTCTCTGGATGGTAAGTACTAATCAAAAGGTTATTAATGCATAAGGGATAGTTCACAGTTCTACCAGCATTTACTCAACAATATGTCACTGCAAACCTCTATGAGTAAAGAAAGTGGAACATAAAAAGGTATTTTGAAAGATGTCTCTCCATGTATGAACAAAAACATTCTTTTGTCAGTCATATAGGTTTGGAATGACATAACTATGTTTAATTTCGACAAAAAATAACCAGAAGAACCATTTGGGTTCCCCAAAGAACCATTCAGTGATCAGATCTTAAAAGAAACCATTTTTATTAGTGAACATTTTAATAATCTAAAGAACATTTTTCAACTATAAAGAACCTTTTGTGCAATTGAAAAATCACATGGATGTTCTTCATGGAACCATAGATGCCAACCTTTATTTTTAAGAGTATGATAAATATGTTGAAGCTTGATATATAACACAAATTTAAAAACCTTTATATGAAATAATTAAATCAAGATTCTTTGGCTAGAGGAGGTTGGTGGCAGAAAAGCACAATCAACAGAGCTGCCGTGTGCATATGGATTTAATCAACTCGTTTAATCGATCAAATTAAAATATGTGCGTTTTGACATATTATAATGAAAGTCTTATGTGACACTAACCTCAGTGAGGCGCTGACTCTACCAGACTGTTGAAATGCCATGGAATGCAATTACATGGCGATTAATCAACATTTAGCGCCACTGTCATTATCAATTTTGTGGTGACTTGTTACGTCTAATCAGAATCAGTCACTTCTCGTCTATTTCTGGGACAGTCCCAGAAAGAAGACGTCTCTAAAAATCAATTATGAATGGTGGCTGATGATTGCACGTTTGGGAGGATTACATTTTATTTTTCATGACAAATAGCATCACATCCACATCTGTTTGTGATTTGTGGTTAAATATTACAACATTGCAGGCAGTGACAAAACATAACGGTTCTGAAGAGTTATAAGACACTTTCAAAACAACAATAGCAGAAAATGTAATATAAATGCGGCATGGTTCAGAGAAAACAGTTTGCCATCTTATATTCTGCATCATTGCTTTAATAACAGCGCATTGTCTTGAAGTGATGAATGGCAGTTGTGTTGAGAAGAAAAGGCCAGTGTTTAAGCAAACACCAAAGAAATGTTCAGAATGCACATCCCCACACAACACACAGGTCGTCTTTATCGCTCTTTAGAAGAGATTATATGCAAACAAACATTTGCCGACATCTAAGATGACTACATTTGGTGTTACAGATTTTATCTGACTGACTGATAAAGTAAAATGTTCTGACAGCATGATGTCATTTGAGAACTTTGTTCTACAAAGAGCATCCACTGGTGCTTTAAAATACCCTGAAACCAATTTGTCGAGCTGAAGAACCGACAATCTACAAGTATACTGCAGCATCAAGAGCTTTTTTAATCTCCAAAGAAGCATACAGTCACCTCAAGAAGCCCAAAATGGTTCTTTATAAGGAGAATGTTTTCTGCTGAACCTAAAATGCTACAAAGAACTATTGAAGAACATCTTATTACTTTGAAGAGTGCCATTAATCGTAGTCATAATTGCTGTAGGCTTTGTTGAAGTGCCAAAGCAAACACCACAGCAATGTTGTCTAAAGTATTATGTGTTATGGCCACTGCTTCATCAAAGAACAACTTTCCACATAAGACCGGACAGACAACATTCATCTAAAGAACTTTCACAACCATTTTCTGCTTAAAATTACTGTTAGGTTGTGTGGAATATCATTTGGCTTTCATAGCATCTCTATCACAGACATCCGCCGCTCGTGCACAAAGGCTGCACTCAGTACTGTACTACTGATGGTGGAATCTGTAACCCTCGGCCCACAAAGGGTGACGGGACCATCTGATTCCACTGCCCCCCCCTCCTCCCAGCCTTAGGTCATCTGGTTGGATAGTAACTGCAATGTTCTGGCTTCTGTACGTACAGACAGCCTCCCACAAACTTACATTGTTTGCCCTTTTCAGCAGAAGTTCTAGTGTCTCAATTTTCTTGAATAACTGTTATTATGTGCTGACAACTAAACACAGTGTTTAGGATAAAACAACATCTCTATGAAGTACACTTGAGCTACAATAATTCAAAGATAGAAAACTTGCGCATACATACAAACTCATGCAGCGTGCCCAAAGAAATACTGCATGCAATGCAGACAAAAATGATAGTGTTTTGGTGTGTCAATCTAAAAATTAAAGTATGAAGCATGAGCACAAAAAAAAAAAGACAAGGAACAACTGAGCTGGGTTTTAATCTGTAAAAAAAAAAAAAAAAGATTTAAAAAATAAAATAAAAACTTACCCATCTATTGTCTGACTATATATGTATATATATATATATATACACACACACACACACACATTTTATATACTTACATAACATATATTTTTGATATGTTTTAACATTCATTATTTATATATATGTATAAGTATGTATGTATGTACTGTATATATGTATATATCAAATTGTAATTAAATGAAAGTAAATAAATTTCAGAAAATCATCAAAAACAATAAAAAATCTAAATGTAAGTGAAATATATTCTATTGCTGTCAATGGTTTTAATGAAACACATTAACGGACTCTCAGTTTTCACTGTTGGTTCATTTAAACCTATTAGTTAAGGTTGATTTTGAAAAGTAAACACATTGATCCGGAAAGAACGATCTTTAATGCAAGCAGACAGCCAGAAAAATATGATAAGAAATGGAAACTAAATTTATGCAAACAATGGTTATCTAATAAATTGAACTAGACTTTCTCACTTTTGGTTCTTTGCTCTAAATATTTTATCTGCATGGCTAAGAACACCGAACACGGGCGTCAAAAACGATTATGATGTCATAAATAAGTGATTTGTGTGAGGCACACATTGAGAGATGTTTTCAATGATGTGTGAAGCAGCCCATAAGAGCAAACAATAGACAATGGCCGAGCCTCACATGCAACTTCTCTTGAAGCATGTTCTCCACCATTGTGCATGCGCTTGCCTTCCTTTCGTCCGTGCCAGGCACTGCCAACCTTGGCACTGGACAAGGGATTGTGGGAGGACCCTCCACCCTTCACCCAGACCTTGAGATCACAGTGTTACTCCGCGAAACGCTCTTCTTACAAATCAAGAAATGAAGCAAAACAAGGATGAAAGACCAGAAAATAAGACCTCTCTTATAAAGCACTAAAATCCTGCTTCAAAGGCGGCCTCTTCACACATAAATCAAACATCAAAAGTTGTCTGATAATCTCTCCACAGTTCTTAACTTCTTTGAGATGCTGTTATACTTATTTTATGGCTTCGATTCATGTTTGATGCAACACTTCCAAAGCTTCTGCTGAAAATAAAAGGTCTGCAAAGGTGATTCCCATTGCATGGACATCTGAACTCTTCTTTTGAGGAGATGTGCATAACAATGCATGGACAGTTCAAAAGGATTTGTGGTCTGCCTCTATTGTGCGATTCTGAGTTGAAGTTGAAGTCATTATCCATGCTGAACTGGAATGTTAGCATGTAGCTGTCACACAAAAGCAGATACACAGGCATTAAAAACAATCTTCCTTTGTAGGAAAGCCACAGTAATCCCCTCTGTGTGAAACATGTAAAAATGTCACTCCTACAGCATTATGCATGAACTGAACACCGTGTGGGTTATCTGTGGAATATTAATGTAGCGGAGCAGCTAGAGATCACCACCAAACAATGCTCAAAATAGACAAGAAAACGGTGCTAAAATGTTTATTCTGGTTTTTGGGAGAATTTCATGTGCCAACAACATGTCCAAGTCAAAATTCCCTCCAAAATCAAAAGAAAAATATTAAATGTACATTTCTTTTGCATAAATAATTTTTTTTAGAAGCATTAAGATTTTGGGGGGCATTGAGACATTATGTAATCTGTAATCAAAATATAATTTATTTCTTTTGACTTTGGGGTGAAACAAAAAAGGCAGAAAATAAGAAATAAAATACTTAAGAAAATCAGCCAACAGACAAAAGAAACTTAAAATAAAATGTAAAACAAATTCTTCTTTAAACTGATTTAAAGACATTTATATATTATAAAATATAACTACATGAATAATAATTAATATATTATTAATATATTGTATGCATGTATGTATATATATATATATATATATATA